CCTCCGAACCTGACAATATTTGCCAGCCGGGAGATGACGATCGGTTGAGGATCGTGTCCTGGGATTTGGTTCTTGGCGAGAAACCCGATTGGTGTCTTTAGTACAATTGATCGTCCATAAAAACAGCACAACAGTCTGTGAAGAACAGTGTGCGCCTAGCTCTGACCGGCGCCTACCTGAGGCGAGGGCCAGTAGGAAGACTATTTTCCACATCAAAAATTTGAGTGGTGCTGATTGGAGAGGCTCAAAAGGCGGTCTGCTTAGAGCAGACAACACACGCGACGAGTCCCAGTTGGGCGGCTCCCTTGTATGGGGTCTTGGCGTCTGGAAAGCAGTAAATAGTCTCCTAATAATAGGACAATCGGCAAGTCTTGTTCCCGTACGTTCTGAGTGGTGGGGGACAAGACCGATATGTAGCCAACGCTCGCTGCGTAGGACAAACCCACTTCGTCAAACAGGTGGACGAAGGAGCCTGCTACCTGGCCAATAGAGGGATGGTACGGATCAATCTCCCTTCCGCTACACCAATTAGTGTATGCTTGCAGCCTAGAAATGTAGGCCGCGTAGGTGGAATCCCTGTTCGCCCTGGCCAGGACATTGGCAGCCCGCTCAGATAAGGCTTTCATATGTGCGGGTCTACTGAGAGCCTCTATGCGTGTAAGTGATACCTGCTGGGCTCGTTGGTAGTGCGCCGTCTGGTTGGGACGGCAGGTCCGGAAGCACTGCTAGCGCTTCGAATAGCATTTCCAACAGAAGTGGAAACTAGGCCTTGCTTGGCCAATTGAGTGGAACCCATGATAATATGCGGGTGTGCGCCTGTCGAAGTTTCTCCGGTGCCCGGTGAACTAGCGGGAAGGGAGGAAAGGCGTACACAACTAAGTGGGTCCACGGGGCTAGCAAAGCGACCCTGGCCCAGGCTCCTGGAGTCAGCAGGAGTGTTACGCATGTCGGGAGCTTGGCGTTCCGGGGTGCGGCAAAACGGTCCAACCTTGGATCGTCCCACGGCCGAAACAGCCTAGAGGCTACCCACTGGGGTATCAGCTACGCCGTGTTCTGGAGACGGAGCCGCCCTGAAAGGGCGTAGCCAGACTGTTCCTCACCCCTGGAAGGTGGTATGCAGTTAGCTCCACATTGTATTCCAGGCACCAAAGGAGGATTTTGCTCGCTAGGACTGACAACGATGGGGAATGCGTTCCCCCTCCTTCTTGAAGGAGACCACCGCTGCGTTGCCTGTGCGGAGCAGGACTCTATGGTCTCGAACTATGGGTAGAAAGCGTGGTAGTGCTAAGTACACTGCTCTCAGTTCGAGCCGGTTGATATGGTAGTCCCGAAACCAATGCGGGGGCCATATCCTTGGGCTTGTT